ACAGTGGATGGAGAAGTAGGAATAGCATTGTGAGATATTTCAGATGTAAAGACTGAAAGGATTTGGTCACCAGCTGGGTTTAGAGTGAAGGGGGAGAGAAAAAAAAAAAAAAAAACAAACATAAAATGACCTAAGGTTTCTAGTATAGATGGCCAGACGCAAGGTGATGCCTCCATACTTCATACTCCAACTGCTACTTCCCTGTGGTTCAAGTATGCAGGGACTCTCATGGCAGGCTGGCTGCCAGCAGTTGATTCAGTAGTTATTTATAACAAGCAATAGTAACAACAAACCAAAACACTTCGAGGCCAGTAGAAGCAAGTTCTTTCCATTAAACCTATTCTAGTCCCATTGTTTTAAACTGACTCTGTTCTCAAGTCCTTTGGGTATAAAAATAACCAAGCAATTATCTCTCAAGCCACAGAAAACATCACTTCTTTCTAGTATCAGAACTGCTTACGGGTATAGTACTAGCAGGTGGCATAAGAGGATCAATAAACAAGAGCTCACTCCTATTTTCAAGCCATTTGGTTTCACTGGGAACAATAAAGAAACAAAGTTTTCACATTGTGAGGAAGACTGTTTCTTGACAATATTCATTTCACCAATAAATACAATTGAACAAGTATAATATCCAGAACACATGGGAGGTAATGAAATTTAGGTAGGTGGAAGGAAATGAGTTTTAGGATTATTTGTTGCTATAATATCCTATCAGTAGGACATGGAATAGTATAAACAAAGAGTTAAAATGACACCAAAACAAATTATAGGCAACATACTCCTTGGAAATGTTTCTTATTGCCTGAATTACCCACACATGATATATATTTCTATTCTTGTTTTAAAAAATACCATCTGTATCTCTACTACACAATCCAAGAATTAGGAGAGCTGAATATATTATGTTTCTTATAACTTATAGAAAGCTATTGTAATAGTTATGTTTGTACTGTTAAAATTTTAACTGAACTGCATTGCTTCTTTAACAAATTATTATACGTAAGCAGTAAAAGGTGTTTACATTATATGTAATTATATTAAATATAATGTGTAAATGTACATTACCAACTTTATTTTAAGGTTGGGAAATAGAAGAAGAGTGGCAATGAGTCCTAAATTTTGTAAGTTCTCTATATAAAAACCTTCAATCTATAGTTCATATATTCTTTTTCTTTGAAAACAATTTCATGAAAACATCCAGGGATTAGAAGACAGAAATGAACATAAGTGCCTCTTGGTTCTGAAAGCAGAGATCAAGTTGTATCTTCCACTGCAGATCCTCCTTCTGTTCCCTAGGGCTTAAAACATTTCCTTAGAGAGAGGGGGAGCTCAACATGCATCTTCATCTTTACTCACAAATCAGCACTTTAAAGAAGGTCATTCTGCATAATTGTCAGAGAGAGCAGGTTCTGTGTTAGCGAACCAAGACCTCTTCCTGTGTTTAGTTGCATTAAATTTGCCGCTGTAACTTTGCTTTCTGGATATTTTCTGGATTAGGCAAAATCTTTCTTCAGCCCCTACTCATCCCTCAGTTCTTTAAAATAAGCTTCAAAGATGAAGAAAGTAGTACTACACATTTCTGTTTTGTTAACAAAATTGTCATTTTAATACACCTGGAAGCATAATGCCAAAAATACAGGAATGCTATGACCACTAAAATAAAACACTTTAGATCATGTTTTCCTTCTAAGGATCCTTATTTGTCCTGGAGAAATTTACTTTTATTTTTCCAAATGTTTAAAGTTGTTTGATAATTTAAAGCATATCTAAATGTGATTGAAGGGGTTTTAGCACTTTAACTAGCTAATTTTATTGCAGCATGCATCCCAGACCAGATAAGCAATAAACTAAGGGATGACCAGCTAAACTCTATTTTGTTTTGGGTTTTTTTTTTCCTACTCCCAGAATGATGGACTAGTTAATAACTGAAGTATTTGTGATTTTTCTATCACTATGCCTAAAAATGTTGCTTTTAAAGTGAATATATTACACTATTAAAATACATGCCCATCCTTATATAAGCCTTGGCATAATTATAGTTTTGTATAATTAGAATTTTATGTCAAAAGATTTACAGCTTCATCACCTCAAGCAATATTTCACAGCTGCCAAGAATGATTTATGCAATAATGATTTAAACTGTAAAATAGACTCCTCAAAGGAAGGGCTGTCAAATATTCCTATTGCAAATAACAAGGTTTTCAAAAATTGATATTCTGGCAAACAGCAAGGCCAATTGTACCTAGCACAAACACATAAAGGAGCGATGTAGGAAGTGTTGCTTCACAATGGATCATGCGGTTCACAGCACACTGTACCAATGTGAACTCCTTGCATAGATCATGAGTTTAACCAGCTTATAAAGCCTCTGGTTACTTTGGAAAACAAATTTCAGAAATAATGCCTTGCTCATACATTTGCTACTCCATTTTGAATAAACAGAGAAAGTGAAAACAGAGTATCTCAACTTGTTAACTTCCTCATTGTGCTTATAACACGATTTTCTATATTCCTATAAAAGGCTAAATTAAGAATAAGTCAAGGAAGCATTTATTGTAAATAGTCAAGAAACCAAGAAACTACCAAAAGTGAATGACCTCAATTATTAAGAATTAAGAACCTTTGAGAAGCAAACCAATGAAAATGTTGATTTATTTTTTTCTTTTCCTGCTTTTATAAATGCACAATGCCTGGCAAGTCTATAAGATGTAAGACTATTAAAGCACTTGAACTTCAGAAGTTCTGACTGATTTTACAGTTGGCATGTGAATGAAACCAATATGCTCTGAAGATTCTTTTAAAAGTATTGAAAGTATCAACAACACACACACAGACACACACAAAACACATTAAAAAAATAAGTGTGACTGAATCCTTATCTAAAAAGTTCATTTAAATTAATTATTTTAATTTGGAAAACCAGAAAATCTTGACTAATCATCTCACGTTTCTCACATCAATTAAAGCTAAATAGGCAACTTTTGTTGTTAATGCTAAAGATACCCAAGTCCTTAAAGACTGAATCACAATCTGGAAAAAAAAAAAAAAAAAAAAACAGAACAAAATTACCACCAAAGCTTGACATTTCCATACCTAAAAGACCTTTCAAATAATTTTTGTAAGAAAACAAGAACTTTAATTCATATACCCAAGCAAATCATTCAGAAGAAAATTTACATTTCTGAATACACTAACATCTTTACTACAGAACTTTTTACAATCATGATTCCATATGAAATTGCCTTTTAAGGTGTTTTGAGATTATTTTATACAGTCATGAACAAACTAACTAGATTTCAAAATATCACCATTTCAGTGGCAGTGTAATATTAATTTTTATTCAAAAACACTTTGCATACTATACTTAGGTTCTATGCAATTGGGCAGACCAAATTTATTTTATGCTTCAAATCTGAGAGTTGAAGAAAAAGTCTGAAATATAGAATAGCCTAGAAAACATAGTGACTAAAGATGGTTCAACATGCTCTGAAGAGCCACAGTACAGACTGAATTGACTTCATAATAAACATTCATATGGGGAAATAATGTCAGACACTCAAAACATGTCAAAGGTCCAGTTTGTTGGCTTCAGGTATACAAATAAAGAAGCTGATTTGGGTAGTGAGACCTTCAGTCCAATACATGCCTTCAAGACAATAAAATAATTAGGCTATTTCTAGTATGCTAACACTACTGATGGAGAAAGAGAGGAAGAGGGACAACATTGAAAAACAACCTCTATGCCCTCTGATAATCATATAATTGCTTTCATTCCAGATTAATACAAAGTTATACAAACCTGTTTTTCCAGTAATACTTGGTTGCACATAACCACTTCAGTTCACACAATACTTAATAGAGTAATTAAGAACTGTACATATTCTATCATGAAACATTTAATTATAAGGAAAGAAGAGGAAGAGTTAAATCTTTTCCTTGCTACTTTTTCTCTGTGGTTTACCAAATGATGACTCATTATATGACATAGGCTATAGCATATCACACATTTACCAAATACTTAAGAGTTCCCCCCAAATCTGAAGATACCCCTCCTCTCCATTAATTTCTGTCAGTGGAATAGAAAGAAGTAGATAATAATACAATATTGACAAAATTAACTGCAGTATGTGTGTTTTTAAAAATTGTTTGACATTTAAAACTTAACTTGTCAAATATCATTAAGTGTCAACATTTGAGAATGTGTGATGCATTAAAATGGGAATATCTGAGTATTCATCCACAGGAATTCATTAATACTGTGTACTTAATGTATGCATGTCTCCCCCATGGCAAGTCTAAAAGAAGGAAGCGTGTCCTTGAAGTTGAGCCATGACCTTAAGTTTGAAATGCCAGTTTTGATGCAGCTGTAAAATGAGTACTAATAACTTCACAGAGTCATAGTTCCTATTCTATATTTCTTATTTTAGAACAATATCAAATACATGAACAGCCTTTACTATTTGAATATGCACAGATTTTCTGGACCACTTTTAGAAGTTCCTATACATCATCCTTACTCTTCTTTTAAAAATGAACAAAAGAAACAAGAGGTGTTGCACATCAACACCTAAAGAGATAAGAAATGCTTATAGCTGTAATCTTAAATTTCAGATTACACAGTTTTCAATACTTCAATATAAAACATATTTTCAAGTCCAAAAAAAATGAAACTGTTTCTCTCCTACCAAATACATATCAATGCATGCAATAAATTATTGATCTTTGTATTAGTCCTTAGAGAAGGAGTGTGCAAAACTGATTCGTGACATTTTATCCTCAGTGACATTAAGTTACTGCACTTTCAAAGTACCCTTAGTGAAGAAGAAAACATTTTCTATTAATCTAAGAAGAATATTCATACTTCTTGGGCACAAAAACATAACAAGCAATGAATACATGTACAATTAAATATCTGGAGTGTCTCTGCACACAGACTTTCAGTAATCAAAATTTCCTTTCAATGAAATAAAATATGAGGAATCCTAAATAAACTTTACCATTTTTGTGATAGTAGGTGACCTCCACTTTCCTCTCCTCTGACCCCAACAATGCCTGTGCAATTTGGGCAATATCATGCCTCTTGGTCTCCGGCCCATGGAGGAAGTCGCAGGTGCATGGCTTCTGCATGACATCTGGCCTGGAGAAACCAGTCATCTCACAGAACCCATCATTGCAGTAGATGATGGCACAATTCTGCACTCTGGCATTTGCAATGATAAATTTTTTATCTGTAATAAGAAGATGGTAAGGCATCTTTTAAAAAGCTTCCATGAGACTCTCATAAACAGTGAACGTATTTGTTGCATAATAAGAGCTCTGAAATGTAGGTGCTTCCCCAAAATGTTAACTGCCCAGACTTTTCCAAGAAAAAAAAATCACAAAAATATCCTACAAACTTTAAAAGTTAGAATAACGGTCCAAAGTAATTTTAACCAAAGGTATTTTAAAAATCACTCTTCAAATTGCAAGAACACAATTTCCCTGATAGTCCAGATCTCAAATGCTGCAACTCCCAAGGGTCCTAGTGGACATTCAAACAAGCATCTGACCCATTGATATTTCCAGAAAGCATTTAAATGTAAGATAAAAAATTTATAAGCCAAAACATTGAAACATCTTGTAACTGTCAAATTTTTCACTTCAACTCTGTCCCTTAGAATACAACTTTCTCAAAGTAGTTATTCTTGGATCTGGCTTTTCTCTATTCCTCTAAGGCATACTACACACATTGTTAAGAAAAAGAAAAAAAGACAACTAGCTTTGCAATAAAACTAATTCACATTTATTAACAGTTCAATAATGCAAATGATCACCTTTCCATAATGTATTTTTTCCAAAAATACATTTCCTACACAATATCATGTTAACACCTTTTTACTTTTACTTTGGGAGAACCTTTAAATTTTGTACAGTAATAGAAAATTTAGTGCAAAAAACTTATTTATTTTGATAACATAATACATTTACTATTTCCAGGTTGAATGTGATGCAGGAAGTACAAGTTTATTTTGTACATAAGGTACTAGATCTTCACATCATTAAATGCAGTGCCAAAAAAAAAACCCTGCAAAGTATACAATATAAATGTGCTAATGTACATTTAAGAAAACATAGAATATAAATTTAAAAGTCTAGTATTTAAGATTACTATGCTTATATAAAAATTATTAATTTCCAGTAGGTGGTCCACATGAATACATTAAATTTTTCTACATTCAGTATCTGTGGGGTTTACTTATTATACTTCAATTTTTAAATTTCTAAATGGAAACTTTAAGAGGATAATAAAGTGACAGAAATATTATTTTGAATAATAAGCTGCTTGCACTGGGAACCAGTAAAAGATAAGATACTGCTTTCCCAAATTCTCTCTTTGGGCATATATTTGCACTGATTCAATACAAAGTTTAGCTTCTGTCAGCTAGCAGCAGGCAAGCATCCTTGTCATTGCACAGCCCTGCAATTTACCAAGATAAAATACAGTTTGCATAGCCATTTACATCCCTACTACCATTTACATACGCTTGTTCAAATAGTAGGGTCTGCTCTGCTTCTGACTTTCAAAAGTGTACAATAAAACAGCCTCAAAAATATAAACCCATGTTATACTAGCACGTTCCCCTTTAAGATAGTAGAATAGTAGGACATTAAGTAGCAAGGCAGATAATGGAGCAGTGGGAGAGGAGGATCAAATTGCCTTCTACAATAGAGACCATAATCTAAAATGTAAATCAAAATTAATATTAGAGGGAGAACACTCCCGCTGCCATCCGAGCCTCCTGGCTCGGTTTCACAGCCTCTGAACTTGACAGAGCCTGGAGTTGCCTATCTCCCCAGCTAGTAAGCGGCGGAAGCCAAGTGCACTATCAAAGCAGAAAGCGAGGGAGAGAGAAGCGAACAAATGAACTTACTTTGCCCTTCAAATTTCCGTATGATGGTCCCCAAAAATGTGTTCTGTGGTGCCACATGCCCCCTGCGAACAGGCATGTTGACCCGGGTCTTCCGAGGAGCGCTCCCCGCGAGCTCCGGAGTTCTCCCGGGATCTCTCCTCCGCTAGAGCCCAGGCCAGCGCGCGAGCCGCTCTTTGTGGCAGAGCATCCTCTTTTGAAACCAGAAATCTCTTCCCATTAGCACCACTTCTAGACACCCGCTTCACCCACCGGAGTCCAATCCATTCCCCTCACCTTCCGGAGGGGGCCTTGCACCGGACTGCCGCGGGTGAGAGGTTTGGGGGTGGGGAGAGGGAAGGAGGCGGGGTGAGGGGAGGTGGCGGGGGAGGGACAAGGGAGGGAACGATGGGGGTGGGGTGAGAAGGGGGGCGGGGAGTCACAAGGGCAATCGATCTGTTTCTCTTCTCCCAAACAGCGCCAATTTTCCGGTGCAAATGGGCTTAACCTGGCAGTTGCCCAGAACCCCGAGGATGGCGACCGGGCTGGGGGAGGAGGGGGCCACTTGTGTAGCTTTTGCAGGAAGGAGAAAAAGAAAAAAGAGGCTGGGGGGGGGGGGTTGACGTTTCTATCCCCGCCCTCTCTCCCTACACACACACACACACACACACACACCACACTCCTTTTATCCCGAGAGCTTGGGCGCCACCACAGCTCGGATTACTCAAGCGTGCTTTAGCGGAAGCCAGCCAAGAAATCTCCAAAACTCAGTGACAAACAACTACCCTGGGAAGGTGATCTCCACGGCCACCAGCTACAGGGCTCCATCCCTGACCTCCTCACGCCGCAGTAGCTAAAAACACTCCTAGCTGCAAAGAAAAGACAGGTGGGAAGACAGTCCCTCAATGAGAAAAATGTCTAAGCTGTACTGACGCTCAAGAGGTTGAAGACTGAGGATGAGCCACTCAAGAGTGAAGGTTTAGCGTCAGTGTGCAGCTTGGATCCCTGAGATTCTCGGGGATGGGCGCTGAAGCCCGGGCTGGACTGGCACCCTGGTTCCTGCCCAGCCCTGAACCGCGCCTCGCAGAGACTGAAGGCTGCCCGCGCCTCCGAGCATGCCCAGTTACACCGCTTGAGTCCCTAAGGAGTTGCAAGGTTGAGGGGTGATTGGGTCTTCAGGTGCTAAAGGCTGCGAGAAAGACGAGAGGGCCAAAGACTGTGAAAGCGACTGGCACAAAACAAGCAAAGAGTTTGAAGTGGGCGAGGCTGGGCGCCAGGGGGAAGGAACAAAAGGTGGGTGGGGCTAAGAGTTAGCAGTCTTGATGTGACCTCCCATTCATCAAAGGAACACACTCGCCACATCATTCTGTTTTCCTTCACCTTGTCTAAGGAATCATCTCGTTTAGGATAGCAAAAGGTTCAAGGGGGCAAAATAGAGTCCTCTTCGTTCTTGCTTCTCAGAGGCTGCCAACGCGGAATCTCGTGGTAATACATATGCTTTTGTACAAACGAGTCCTGGGGACTTAGGGAATCAAATATGACAAGTCATGCTAGGAAAGCATGTTTCCAAAGTTTTTTTTTAAAAGTTTTCTTTCTTCTTTCCGTTTCTTTTATGCTATCTTCTCCTCTCTCATAATAGCCCTGTCTACATCCTTTCTCTAAGTGGTATTTGCAACCTATTCGCTCTAAAGAAATAGAACATGGACAAACCTCTAATTTCTAGCTGGTAATGAGGTTCTATCCATCCCTTTCAAACATATAGTTGCATGTTAGAGATTTGGGGGGGAAGGAGTGTTCTTGCAGTCCATTAATCACCTCTGCCTGTGCATTGAGTCAGTCTGGTCTATATGTTATCACAGCCTCATATCTGAAGTGAGATAATGAGGGTGGAATTGGGAATGGCCAAGAAGCAGAGGAGTTAGTTTAGTAAAGAGAATCCTGTGGGTCGCAATAAATAAGAAATAAACAAAACAACTATTATAGTCCAGAAGATATACACCAACAAATCAAGACAAGAACAAAAACCTAAACAAATCTTACTTTCATTCAATAGCAATGAAAATGAATCAGAACACATTACCAAGAAATGTTGAATGTTCCTATTAACTAACATTACATTATTACTGTATGGCTGTCTCTTTGGGGATATAAAAAGATATCCTTTTTCAATGTATGGCTTTTCTCTCCTCTATACTTTATGAGCAGTTGATTCTGTCATTCTGTGCTCTAGCTGCAAATTGTCTTACATGAAGAAAATTCCTCTTCAAGGTGCTGAATATGTGGAGCTATCCGTGGTGCTGACTCTGACACTGCCTTTAGCAACTGCTCTCTGCCTACATCCAGCCACATAAAATAAAACTGTAAATTCAGGCAAGTGGCCCTGATATGTCCTTATACAACAATCATATTCATCAAATGCCCACAGAAACACCAAGTTCTATTTTCATTTTATCTCTAAAACATCTTTTTCTACTTAGCTATTTAATCAAACCCAAACTCATCCTCTTCACAAACCCCATCAAGGACTCCAGAGAAAACTCAATAAATGCATACTGTGTGATTCTAATTAAGGTTTTCTGTATAAAGTTTCATTTTTCTTAAGGTTTCACGGTGTAATAACACAACAGTAAGTTATGGCAAATAAATATAGACAAACATGTTTTCTAATCACATATAAACTCATTGAATGAGTACTTCTGTAAGTTAATAGACATTTCCAAATTGATTTTGAAACACAATATTTATCTTTCATATGGCAAGATGTTTTTATTATGAGTCTGCTACCATATTTTACAGGCTATTAACTCTGGAAACCCTGGAATTCTGCTTTTGTTCTTTAAGAGTACAATTGTCTTCCTGCTTGTTGAGCTATTCTCTATCTTTTTACAACTTTCAGAATGGACCCTGTTTGGATTGGTTAATGAATCACATGATAGTTAAAGTTCCATTGTCAGTGTTGCATATGAGTAAGCTCTGTGGGCTTCACATTTTTTGCCCAGCCTCATTTAACTCTAAGATTAGTTCTATTAATGATTCAGTGTAAAATCATAGAACATTCTATAATCTATGTATTGTAATTGATTGATATGAGCAGAAGATTAAAGGCATCCTGTTTCTAAATTACCCTAGTAATCGTGTTCATGCATTATATATTGGAACAGTGGAGACAAGTACATTAATCTATATTCAGCCAATAATAGAATCAAACTAGAGGAGAGTAATCATGGCTGCTTGCTAGCTGGAAAATTATTCTTCCTTCCATTCTCATCCTCTGAAAAAAGCTAATTTCAGATTTTACGTTTTTTAAGATTTCATAAGTTATAATATTTTTGGACATTTTGGGAAGTCCAAACTTTGAACAAAGTATGTAAATCCAAATGTTGAAATCCTATCAAGTGTACCCATTAAGTCAATTCAATCAAATTATGGGAAAAGATAAATAATCAATTCAGATACATATTTCAAAATTATCTAATTACCCATGCTATTTTAAATTAATTTATATAGAATTTATTTATGTAACTTTTAAAAAATGATAAAATTTACTTAATAAATTTTATACAAAAATAATTCTGCACAAAAGCTCACAGAATTACTGGAAACTTGCTTAAGAAATATATATTAGAAATTACTCAAGTATCATACACTATTGCTTGAATCTTCAGGAAACACTGTGGAATATTTTTGTGGCATTTTTATCTTGATAGAGAAAGGAAAGTTTTTAAGATCAAATAAGTGATGTGATTTGTGGCAAGACAGATGTGGAAAACAAATTGATTAATGCAAAATTTTCTCAATTTAGGAAACTATTTTACTACTTGATTACACAATGTGACATTTTAATGGCTATTTTAATGTAGGCTTCTATGGAGATGCTGAGTATTATCCTATTAACTGGGTCACATTTAACTTATGAGTTATCTAACTTAACAGTTTTGAGTTAAGCAGATTTTGGCTGCTATTGCCATATGTAGTTCTAGACTTTTGTAAGAGGCAGAAATTTTGAGGTCATCTATTAAAACAACCATATTTCTGTGCAGCATGGAATAGCAGAACAGGCAGGGGAAAAATTGTGTTCTAACACCAAATTGCCTTTTATAGAAAAAACTAATGAAAATGGTTAAGCTATTTTATTTATAGCTTCATTTCTAAAATCAGTGTAACAATTCCTAACTTTCAGTTTTGTGTGAAGAATAAATAATAGAACAGATATACATGGCTTAGCACAAAATCTGGCACCTAGTGAATATTTAAATAACAGCTATCCTACAATAGAAATACTCTACATTCTTAAATTAGTAAGTTAATGAATTAACATAGAATTATCTAATTTAGATTAAAGTTTTGTTATTGGCATATGTGTGTGAGACAGAAAGAAGGAGAATGAGATAGAGTGTTTGGAGCACAAGAAGTAATTAAAGAATGCTATTGGTAAATCATGCCCATCCTAATAATTTTGAATAATACCATTTCATATACTTGCAATATATTAACACATGCATATTGAGTTAGAACATTCGATATTTCTTGAGAAACTTAAATAATTTTTGATAACCTACTTTATATGTGAATTTAATCCAAATGGTTATTATTCGCTCTAACTCAGTAACTTTTATAGAAATATATTTCACATGATTTCCATCCAAATCATTAATATGGCTCATCTTATTGATAATACATAATATTTATCATAAGAACAAACTCTTTCTGTAGAGATGAGGTGTTGACAGTCCCTTCCCTGAAATATAGCACCTATTTCTGCAGATAATCTATTCAATATACATATTGCTGACCCATTTATCAATAATCAACATACATGATAATTAGTGACCTAACTGAATTGTTATACTTTAAGAAAAATACATACACAATTATAAGTTTTAAAGTAAGGGATTATATGAATATTATGGATGAAAATTTGATAGGGTATATTGGTAAGGTTGCTTAAAGGATGATTTATTTATTGATTTAAAAAATAATTTTTGTATATGAGTGAAAATAGTGTATGAAACTTCATTTCTCTCAACATATCTTAGCCAGACATGATGGCATATACCTGTAATGCCAGTGACTCACAGGAGCCAGGAGAATGGAAAGTTCAAGGCCAGCCTCAGCAACTTAGAGAAGACTTAAGCAACTTATCAAGATCCTATCTCAAAATAAAAAACAAAAAGAGTGGGGATGTGGCTCAGTGACAAAGCACCCCTGGACTTATCCCTGGAACTCCCCCCAAAAAATAGATCTTAAAATTGGTTTAATTGGCATGTTTACTCTTATAATTATCAAAATTGTATACATTAAGAATAACCTGAGAAGAGCAAGAATGAGAAATTTAATCAGTATCTCATAGCATGTAACAAA